TTGAACTATCTACGATAAAGAGTAAAAAAAAATATATTGATCAATCCAATGTGATAGTACATTGAAATTGTTTTTTAATATTTGTCGAACGACGAAAACGTAATGGTATTGGTTTTGCAACTTGTACAATACGTGCACAATCATTAATTTGTAATGATTGTCTCAATAATGCTTGGAGATTTTCAGGAGTTGTAGGATTTCCTTTTTATTAATTAAAAATTAGAAAATCTATCAAAAAAAAAAAAAAAAACAAGAAATCTTACCAATAGAAATTTCAGCTTGAATTACAAATGTAACAAGTAGGACATATAAAAAAATCTTGCCAGAAATCATTGTTATATTTATTATTTATCACAAATATTATTAACAATAATCAAGATGTTTATGTCCTAAAAGAAGAAAAAAACAATAATTATTTCATATATATATATATATATTTAAATTAGTATTAAAGAAACTGAAATTTGTATCGATCCTTAGCTTTTCTTTTAAACAAGACACGAAAAGCATGTAAAATATCGATAAGAGAAAGAAACATTATTTTCATCTGCTTTTTATAACAGTAATTTATAAGATTAAGTACGTGATAACATGTTTGAAAATGAAAGTAAAAATATATAGAATAACATGAACTCGTAGGCATAATGATTACATTATACATTGTTTATACTAAAACGTCAGACATATTAAAAAAAAAATCTCCAAAAATATGTCTAGTCATTCTGTTCGTACTTATTATCAAAGAAATTCTGTCGATTCTCAATTGTAATTACATAATAATTGTGAATTAATAAGAAGAGTTCTACTACATAATGAAAATTTTTATAATTATAAATACACTAACATTCAAACTTTGTATTTAGCAGATAGATACTAACAGAAATCTGTTGATATATTTAAAAGTAATGGCGGAGGTACTTTAATTCCTTATTAAAAAAAAACAAAAAAAACTTTCTCTCTATTATGAATTGATATTAAAAAAATAATACTCTATTTTATATCATTCTGCAACTAATATCATGATAGTAAAATTTCAAAAGGATCTGTTTGGTTATGATATGCAAAGGTTCAATTAGCTTATATTGTCTTCGATCTCTCTTGATTTTTTTCTCGTCTGTTTTAATGTCTGACCCTCAACATATACATATATATATATATATATATATATACATAAAGACGCATGTCTTGTTCGCTTTGTTTACATCTGTAGTTTATCAGTATGATCTCAAGAAAATGAAAGAAATAAAGATAGATTAAATCTTGACAATGTTCATCTTTGTCTCTAAGATGAATAAGAAAAATTTTTGCTTCTATATTAAAATGCGCATTGCACTTAATATACAAAAAAAAAAAAAAGAATTATTTATGATGAATTATGTTCTCTTTGTGTTGATGAAACTTTTTCTCTGAGAATAGTAGAAAGATGATCTAAATAGTTTCATGAAGGTCAATCAAACGTTGAAGACAAAGCATAACTTACTTGTTTCTGTATTTCGTATTTTGTTTCACTGCCACTATTTTTTGTATGTCCTTATATATATATATGTAGAGAGAGAGAGAGAGGGAGAGATAGTTGCCCATTAGAGAAGACGAGAAAAAAGAATAGAGAAAAAGAGAGAAGAAGAATAAAGAGAAAATCAAGAAGAGAGACTACATATCGAAGACCATATGAACTAATGTAACCGTCACGCATCATAATCAAAAAGATTTTATCAAGATTTTATTGCTATGATAGCAATTGAAGAATGATATAATAGCGCAGAAATATAGAGTGTCATTTTTACTATCATTCAATATAGAAAAAAAAGTTTTTTTAACTTTTTTTTAAAGAATTAAAGTACCTCCATTATTACTTTAGATAAACAAAAAGTATCGATGAAAATTCTGTATAAAGACAAGACATGATTTATACTTTTTATTTTTGTTTAGAAACAAAAAGAAATGATTATTCTTTCTTTGAATTTGAATGTAGAACTCCTTGTATGTGTCTAGGTCACTTATTTCTATTTTTAATGATGAAAGAAAAACACTATGCTGAGTCACGTTTTACTATACAACGTAATTTAGTTACGATAGAATGATGAAGGTCGAATATAAGTGCAGTTTGTTCTTTATAAGAAAGGTCGAGAAATAAGACTTTGAAATATATTGATATTTTTTACATCATAATAACTTTTTTCATAATAGTATTCATCTTTATATGAATAATTACTATAGTTTCAAGAAAGTTGTTAATATAATCAACGCTGGATTAAGATATTAAATCCAAATAGCTATTATTACTCATAAATAGAATTGTTTTTATGCCACTCCCCTTCAAAAAAGTTCATTTCCGTCGGAAATCATAGAATTCTCGAAGGAGCTTCATTATAGCCAATTCTTTTATTTGAAAGAGTACGCGAAGCCATAGTGTCTCGTTTTTTTAAATTACGTTTTCTTCCTTATTATATTAAAAAAAAACATTTCTATAAATAGATGAGGTTTTTTCTTGGGTGAATTTTTCCGAGTATTGAACTTATTATCCATTTTCTCTGCATAAAAAGTGAGAATTTAAAAAGAAGAAATGACTGTCTCTCACAAAACATCATAGTATGAGCTGAAATTTTTAACATAACCTTTTTTTTTTAATACAGTCATAACATATCCTGGAAATTTTGATACGATTTGAATATAGCTGATCCAAAGATACTTGATCCATTTCTAGAAACATTCTTTCTTTTTTTTTCAACTTCGATATTTCTCTCAAAAGTTTATCTATTTATAATCTAATATTATCATTTTTCAATCTTGAAATTTTCGTTCAATATTCTACAATTCATACAAAAAAAAATAGACCAATATTTGTCTTCATTTTTTTCGATCTTATTCTGCTTAGTCTTGAATAAAAAAAACAAACAAACAAAAGAAAAAAAAACAGAAGTTATACAAAGAACAGAATATATCAACTGAACACAATAAACGATACAAGTATAATAATAGAATATAGAATAAAGCAAAGCAATAGAACAAATAAACAAACTGGAATGGCTAGACACACAAAAAAAAACCGCAATAGGGAATAAATAGTGCAAACAAACAGACAATGTACAAGCAAAAAAAAAAAAATTATCTGAAGTCACACACACATATATATGGAATGCAGTTCGTTGAAGAAAGACCATGACAAATGCATATATCTGACTATTGAATTACACAAATGATTATGTATAATTCTATAAAAAAAAAAAAAAAAAAAATTTTTTTTTTCTATTCAATAGATTATTAAAAAAATTTTACTTGTAAAATTTCTGGATGTTGATGATCAATATGATTAAGAAAATATTGACGATTATTATTAATTGTATAATTACATTTTGAACATTTATAAATAATTATTCGATTTTTTTGTTGAACTATATATAAATTAAAATAATTAATAAAACAAAAAAAAAAATCTTTCTTTTTACTTGTTGTTAATTGTTTAATTAATGGATTATTTTCTAACCAATGTAATTCTAAAATATAATCATTATAGCATCTTTAAAAAAACAAATATTTATATTTAACATACCATAGTCAAACATTTTTTCATCGAATTGAATATCGCGTGTTTTTTCTTCCTTGAAAAGAAGAAAAAAAAAA